TAATGTTTTGAATGTAGCAGATGTCACTGATGCATGTTAATGATATTATTGATGCAAATAATGTACAGTACATTCCCATATAAAGTATTTTGTAAAATAGCCTTGTAATTCAATATTTTTAATTCGATTTTTTAGAACTTTTTAAAGAAAAAAGTACATCACCTTTTTTAATGTTTGTTTTCATGGTTTAGTTTAATATGTACTGTATTAAATAGAAATTTACACATTTTTAAGAAAGAGTTTTTGTTTTTAATCTGAAAGAAACAAAGAAAATGTGAAGTATTTAAAAATACTTATTGAATTTATTCTAAAATTTTATTAATTTACAGATATGTGTCGGTTTAATGCAATTAAATTGTGTATTAATTAATGTAATTAAGTATATGAATAATATGTAGAATTAGAAACTTACTTTCCCCCCAACTGTGAAAGAATTAATTTGTTCCGATGAATCTTCCTTTTGATATTTGCATCTTGACCATCTTAAAAATTAATTTTGAATTGTTTGAAAACTCAGATTATTTTGCTTTTCATAATTTATTATGTAATTATAATCTATAAGTTTAAGTGAAGATGAGAGTTCTTTTTATATCTCTGTAATTAAATAGTCATCAAATAAAATAAATGTTTCAGTAAGTAGAATATTTTAATAAAAAATTATCATTTGAAAATGGAAGATTGATAAAGTTTTGCTTAGTCTTTATTCAAGTAAAAGAATGCTTCAGTAAGTAAAATATTTTAATAAAAAATGATCAGTTGAAAAAGGAAGACATAAAATTTTGATTAGTATTTATTCAAAAATATCACTGTCCTGCAAGAAAAAAAAACCCAAGGCGTGATTTTAAAAAAAGGCATAAAAAGCTGAAATACAAAGTTTTGCATTTCATTCTTCTTGCAATTTTAAAACTTTGCTAAGTAGCCCACCAGCGACTAAGTAAATAAGAAAGCATAATATTGGTAGTTCAACTCTTGTTCAAATCCCAATGAAATCCCTATCTGCATGAGTGTTTGGATATACTTTTCCATACTAAATATCAGTACAAACCAGTTTCCTCTAGAAAGTCCTTCGGGAGCATATATTTCTCCTTAGACAGATAATCTTGTATGTTTTGCCTTATAAATGAATCCAATCTAACCATGATTATCTCTAAAGGGACTGAAATCTCAAGGTGTACCTTTGGATGTTTGTATCTTCCATACTATATACAAGCATGCCACCAGTGGCCAAGTGGTGAAGTCCTTAAATATAGATGGTTTTTAACCCAGATTCAGATCTTTGTGAATGGGCTGGCTGCTTAAAAATATTTGTGGTTTCACTTACGTGTAATGCAATGCAAGCCAGTTCCCTCTAAGAAAGTTCTGCACAAAAACACCACCTTGTGCAGATAACCCTCGTGTTCTGTACAATATACATGATCTTACGTAATTTAGTTTAAACATATCTATTAACAATAGCAGTTTCACTATATTATGTGGTATTAATAAAGAATTATCACCAAAGTTTTTTATAGAATTAAAAATATTCTGCCTCTTTTAACTATTGCTTTTTGTGTGTGTATATCATGTTTTCAGACATAACATAAATGTTTTGATTTTGCATCCTATCCCATGAAGAACAACAAAGTTGTTTAATGTAATGTTGTACAAAGTTGAACAACAAAGTTGATTTGTAATGTTGTTTAATGTTATTTAGGAAAACTTCTACTGATAAAATACTACATACAGAAATATTTTTAAGAATGCTGTTGATTTTTCAGAGACACAGTAACAATTTAACTGGTTATAACCTTAACAGAGCCGAGATGTCGAACAGAAAAAGGATGCCATTAGAAATGCTCAAATGCCAAATTAAAATATTTGATCATAAAACAAATGTAATTACAGTTAACTGATTTTCGAACTTGAGGACTGATTATGAAGTATAAGTTAAATGTTTAATAAAAGAATTTCATGAAAATAACCAAAATTTGAAGAACAGTGAAAATAGTAGATTTTATTTTACCAAAATAGCTTAGTACAATGATTTTGTCAATGTATTCTTTATGTTTATTTATGGGAAATTAACAGAATGTAACCTATGTTATGAATATAAAGGTAATTTTTTTTTATTTTTAACTATCGCTAATTAAATATAAAACATTTACAAAAGTTTGAATATTTGGTGTATTTGGTGTTTTCATTATTAAGATTAAAAGCCCTTTCTGCCGATTACTTTTATTCATTTATTAAATCTCCTTTTGGTCTTTCTTACACCTTATACGAGTTTCACCCACTTTGGTAATATATATTGTGTGAGAACTCTGGAAAACTTAGCGACTTCTCGTTATGTTTTGGAAATTACAACAGAGGTTTGGAATAGGTGTAAAAAAACCCTTTTATAATCTCAGACAAATTAAAAGAGCGCACAGCTTATTCATACAGAATCAGCCAGCATTTATGGCGTAAATCAAAAGTAACGAAATGAATTATTTGCATTAATATTCAACTAAATAAATTTTAGTTAGTCCGAAGGCTACACAGAAAGAAAATGCACAAATTGTTTCAGATCTAATATTGGCGTGATAAACTAATGGTGAGAAAAATGCAATACTGCAGATAACCTGCTTCCAAGAGAACTAGTAATGTGGTTTTCAAGTAGATTCTACCATCTAAAAAACCTCTTCCTTTCAATACTAGTGCTTTCTACCTCATTCGAATACACTCAAAATTAGCATTCTGGCAGGAAAATGGAAAGGGACAATGAAAAGCTAATTATTATAAAATAGCTTGTTAATAAAAATAAATGAATACTCTACAACCGGAATTCACGATTTTAATTTAGCCATTTTCATTTTTATGCAGCCTTTATATCGAAATATACATTTGTTTTGGAGGACCTTAGGTCCTACAAATAATAAAAAATAATAATTAAAACCAAACACTGTGTGGAGCATAATGCAGAAACTTGGTGCAAAATTAACATGTAATACATTACTTTGCCCTAGTGTCAATGGTCAGAATCCCATTCTATGTAATAATATATGCATTTGATATTATTAGGTATTGCTAATTAAATTTACATTTAAATACTTCAATGAAATATCAAGAAAATGAGGAAAAATTATGAATACTACTTACTGTATGATATGATTTATTTTAAGTGAGCTAATTAATAAACAAAGACCAAAATATAAAGTTTCACTATTCCTTACGCTGAAGTATACTTCATGCTATTAATATCATCATTAGTTGTAAGGGCAGAACATTTGTGGTCTTCACCTTACAAAATCCATGAGCAACATTGTAGTAATATAGGAAAATTTCATATAATGGCCAGTAGCTGAACTGAATGAAATGAGTATTTTAAATTTATAATTAAACATATTTTAAATTCACTAGAAATTTAGGGTCATATAATGTTTAACTATTTCAAGTTTTGGAAGAAACTATTTAAAATGTCTTCTTTTTTTGGGGGGGGTTGCTTTAACTGCTTATGTGTTACAGATTTCAGCCATATAATCTCATAAATAGCATTTAAAGATTAATTTTTTAACCCAGGCAGATCATATTTCCTCATATGAAATTATTGTTCAAAATTTATTCACTGCCTTACTTATTCATTACACACACAATATATTCAAATACTAATTAATCATATATTAATACAATATTCAAATACTAATAATTAAATCCTTAAAAAATGTTCCTCTATTTAAAGGAAAACATTTTAAAATTTCCAATTGAGCAGTATTTTTTTTACCTCAAAATATGTCACTTTTGTATTAATTTTCAAATTCGTTACTTATACATGAATTAAGTAAACTCAAGTATTATTTAGAATCGAGGATTAGTGATATGGGATGTTTAGAATGTTCAGGGTTTTATGGAAAAGTACTACTGAATGGTAAAAAAGGTTTATTAAAATTCAAATACAGTAATTCAATGATGTAATATACACATATAATTAATATGCACAACAAACGAATTATTGTATGAAATGCATGACAGAGCAAAGAATGAAAACATATACATGAATTTACAATAACATAAGTTGCAAAATAAACAGAATACAGGAAAACTCACATAAATTTACAATAATATGAAACAATTAAGTGTTATGAGTAATAATATTAGTCAGATTTTTCCTTTATAGTTAAATCTTCATTTTCATTGCTCTTTTAATATCTTGTGGTTGTGGCTGGCCTGCACGCATTCTTTAAGCGATAATCTCTGTGGCACTTCATCAAACCCTAAATTGTTGAAACAAACATTACCAAATGCTAACTTGTAATGACATTAATACATGCATCATAACAAATACACAATGAATATTAAGAAAATGTTAATGTACCAATATTTCTTGTTTCAGTAGTATCAATTCTTGAAATATCATAAAAGAGGAATTAGACATTTTTGATTAAACATTCAATTATACATCTATCAATTTCAGTGTTATAGTGTGGCACCAGGGTAACTATGCGAGACACACTAATCCCCTCGAAGATTTCTGATTTACAAAATAATTTTGGCAGTAACTTGTAAAGGCTAGAAATACTTCGGAACTGTTTGAGCTGGTATTCGTGAGAATCCTTGAGTAATTTTTTGAATGCAGAATAGTTTAACTGAGAAACAACAGAATGCAGCCAAATGATATCCCTAAGTATTATTTCATTTCACTTTCTAATGCATGCATAATAGCATTAATTAAGAATTTAATAAAAACATTAAAAATAATTACATGAAGCAAGATCTCTAAAATTTCAAAATTGCATATAATTAAAATCTAGTTTAATATCTGCAATACATTTTTAACTCATCATATTTTCATAAATTTAACTTTACAATCTAAGACTAATTACAATAAAACATTCTTTATGGCAAAAGAATACGAACTTCCAGATTAAATATAATGTATATGTTTCAATATAATGTATATGTAATATGTTTTAAACTATTTCACTTTCATAGATAAAGTTTCATTCATCTCATCAAAATTATTAAATATTTATCAATCTTTTGATCGTCAGTTTCTGTTACCTGCCAGTGAGGTAGAATGTATTCACCAAGACACAAAGAATATGTATTACATACATGTAAAATATAGAAAATACAGTGGCTTTGCTCTGCGCGAGCATGCAACCTATAATTAACTTACTGCAGTTTCAGGATCTTATCCTAGACCAGTACTTTCGAGAACATTCTGGCATGTTATATAACCGCTAGTACACATACTGAATACGTGCCATTTTTCGTCAGACTGCTTTCTTTCTACCGCTGCTACAAGACCTTGCAGCTGCTCCTCCCATCTTGTTCTTTCCTTTGTTAAAGCAGATATGACGTAAAGTCTAAATTTAATCTTACTTAGTTTAAATCAATATTGAATATATAATTTTGAGAATTTCATCTAAAGGCAAAATGATCTGCTGGGAGAATTGAATAAAGATGTGGGATCTAAAAAGCTAAATCCTTCTTTGTCGTCATTTTGCAACCTTCTATCCAGCCATAACAATGCCCGGCCTATGATGTAGTTATATTGTCAAGCTTTGGTCATTCCTGTGCCTGCCAAAATATTACATATACACGTATGAAAATTATTAATATAAGCTACATAATGTAATATACTACTATTGTTTTGTCACAGTAATTAAGAATAAAAGTCTGAAATATTGCCATGTCTTGCAAAATATCAACTAAATCTGTACACAAGATACGAAATATCAACTAAATCTATACACAAGAATTTTCCATTAAAAATTTCTGTGCAGACCTGATAATCATTATATATACTGCTCTTTGTATAATGTACTGAACTGTAAAGCTCCATGTATACAAAACATTTCAAGACACTCGATATTTATTCTGTTGCAGAAGCAGACTGTTTATTTTTAATATATATAATAATAAGCAAAGATGATACGTGACAAATCTTTCAGTTCTATAATTTTTATATCTAATATTCAGTGCACTATTATGCTAATAAGCAATCTTTATTCTCAAATCCTTGCATTATATGTTGGTGATTATGGGTGGTCTATTATTCATCTGTTTTCTTATCCGTCATGGCGACTACACTAAGTCTGTTAATCAAAGCTCAAATGTATGCCTGTCTCCTGTAATTTTAAAGAAATATTTGAAGGAAAGATAGGTTAAATTACATAATAATTATACATACTTTGCCTGTGTGTTTACAGTCAGACATAATATTCAACAACTAATATGCTTGAAAATGCCCAAGTGGGATTTGAATGGCTTCAATAACATATACTGGAAAATTAAATAAAAGTATTATAAAAATATTGCGCCCATTTGGATGGCTTAAATAATAGTTGTGTAATAAAAGAACATTTTAGGTTTGATATTAACTAATTAATTTTTTTTTTTAATTTTATCTCTTTGACCTTTAAAATGAAGAGGTAATGCTTCTGGTTGACTATGGGTAAAAACCTGAAAAGAAAAAAAAAAAAATACACTAAATCTAAGAATGTTTCCAACACTTTCACATATCTGGAAGAAACTAATAAGGTCAACAATGCCTGATTAACTGGATTTGTTGGCAGATGATGATTCAAATCTGAATATAGAAGACATGTAAACAGTATAAAAGCATATCAAATTTATATCAGTGTACGAGTCATCATATGTGTGAATGAGTGCCTACTATAAATTAAGTACAAGTCTTACTCTGAACTATAGTATACTATAGTATGCTATAACTATAGCTTATTACACGAACTATTTAGTATGCTTATGCACTAATTTTTGCATTTTCTTAATTCATATTTTTAATTAGCATTATTACAAAATTAAATAATATCTGTAATAATTGTAACTGAAACAATTGTATTTGAAATTTCACCTCTTTCATAATAACCACAATTGCCTAGTACATATTCATTAGCAAAGCATACAATTAAGTGCTTCACAGTATTATTAACAGTAAGGATGCTATCACACGTCGGTTTGTTTCGGAAGAACAACTGTTTGGAACAATTTTTCTGCTTTGTCACAACAGCCAATTATCATAGATCACTTTGGGGTTAACATGGGAAACTGGTTCTCCATTAAAAACAAGCTGATAGCTGATTGGTTGAAAACGAACATTTTGCAATTTTTTTTTAAAGGAAGGAAAACGTCGCATGTCTTTCTTTCAATAGTAAACCAGACAGAAAAATTGTCCGAAATAGTTGTTCGTATGAAACAAATGCCGTGTGATAAGTGTCTCAGACATCATTACTTACATCTAACATTTCACTTCCAGAAACAAGGGTCAAAATTTTTCAGCTGCCATTCACTGTGCCAATGCCTGAAATTAAAATAATTTTATAAAAATCTTTAAAAGGATGATTCAAGTATTGAAAAATCTTAGATCATAACTTGGTCATACACACAAAATATATTATTTTTTATACCAATAAAATAATATGTTGTTCAGTGCTGAATGAATTATTTAACAATAGGAGAGTGTCAATGGTTGTGAAATCACATCATAATAATAAGAAAATTTATAAAAAATGAAATAAGGGGTTTTTTTTATTTATTTTAAATTTTACTATTTAGTTAAGAATAATTATCCTACTAACTTTAATTCATATATTCAACTCTGAAACACACTTTCTACAACTTATCTTTGGCTACTATAGTCTGTGTAGTCAGCTTGACAGATACAGTCAGCAAATGATGATTGACAGTCATAATTGTTATCTTGTCTTCCTGGTACATGTGCAGTACACGTACATGTTTTCCTACAACTTGCATGATTGCATACATACTTTTTCACTGCAGAAATATACAATTTTATGAAGAACTAATTTGCAATAATATATAGCATACATGAAAACAATCCAAGCATACTTTATATTAAAGTGCAATGTTATGTAATCATTGATGAAAATTACATACATCAAAAATATACTTTATTGTTGACTTTACTATTACTTTCGGATTATTAAAAATCATCATCAATTCCTACATGCTGTACAATCATCTGGCTTTTAAAAATAGAACTTGTTATATTTAATATTTCATCAGGTTTTTCTATTCAATAGATATTTGATAATATAAGGAGTTAAGTAAATTTGAAATAATATTTTATTTTTATCAATTTTTTTACAGTTATACCACAATTCCTTACATTACAAGTTCATTACATTATTTTATATCATATTAACTTCAACCAAAATTTCAGCACATTTTGAGATAAAAGACCCAAGTACTTTTTTTTTTTTTTTTTTTTTTTTTTTAATTAAAAATTTTAAATCCTTGCACCACATAGTATTACACAAGGCTACAGAGGTAAGTAAAAAAAAACAAACAAACAATACAACAACACAACACAAAATAAAATAAACTTACAAATTCACAGATGATACGTAAGAGATAAATTTACAGAAAAAAGAGAAAGCCATTTTATGTTGGACAAAAACATGAAGAGGGGGAGGAAATGTAATATTCACAGAGTTTAACTTAGAAATGAGTTCCTTTCGTCCTTCCTTGAGCTTTGAACAATAGAACAACAAATGTTCGACATTTTGCACTCCCCTGAAACTGCATGAACACAAGTCTGTACTAGATAATCTAAATCTCTTCAGATATGAATTGAATTTACCATGTCCAGTTAGAAATTGAGTAACTTCAAAATTGCAGAAAAAGTGTTTATTATTCAGTCTGTGAGGAGTGGAAGGAAAATATAGTTTAGTCAAAGAGGCAGTAGTAGAATTCCTGTATAGTTCATTCCACTCGAGTATTGTATCATCCCTACTTTTGTTCTTGTAAATGACTTAGGAAGTATCATTGGAGTAATTACTTGAAGATGTGTAGCTTGTTTTGCCAACCAATCAGCCCGTTCATTTCCTACATTGCCAGTGTGGCCACGTACATGAGAAAAGATAACATCAACACTTTTATTATTAAGGTCTTTAAGAAGAGCATGGGAAGTCACAATTAATTTATTATATGAGAAGATATTCCTAAGAAAAAATAAGAATGAAAGAGAATCAGTGCGAATAAGAAATTTAGCACTTAGCGAACAGTTGTTAGATATCCACTTAATTGACTCACTAATGCACAGTAATTCGGCTTGGAAAACACTGCATTCATTGGGAATTCTAAAGAGTTTGTATTCCAGTTCAGAACCATTATGGAAAACGACATAAGCTAATCCAACTCGATTATTAATTTTACTGCCATCTGTATAACACACAACAGGGAAATTATCATCAACAGAATTGTCATAAATGATAGTTTGAATTGGCAAACGATTGTCAGGATGAGGAAGATCTTCAAACAACACCTTGGCATCAAACATAAATTTGCTGATGGTATCTTTAAACTTTTTGTCATTCAAAACATGAAGGTCAATCGGAGGAAATCCTGAAATTGCGAAACAGGCTTCATAGCTAATTCTTCTGTAGCCACGCACAACTCTTAGTAAAATTCTTCTTTGAATTCTGCGAAGTATACGGGAATTAATCTTCTTTTCTAAAGCTGTTCCCCACACTCTAGAAGCATAGCAAATAAAGGGGACAATACCCTGCTTATAAATCGTATCAATAACATTAAATTTTAAACCAAAAGTATTGCAAGAGACACGATTAAGTCCTCTAAGTATATTTTCACACTTATTGGATAAATACATAATATGATTTTTCCAACAAAACTTATGATCAAGAATAACGCCTAAATATTTAATTTCATTCACCGTTTCGAGTAAGGTATTATCCAAGTACAGTTGTTGGTTTGTATAGCTGACATGCTTTCTTTTAATTATCATAGTTTTAGATTTATTAGGATTGAATTCCAATTTCTGTTCTCTGGACCAATTGGAAATAATATTAAGGGTGTTTTGAGCTGTATTAAAGAGAGTAATGGGACACTTCTCTTGAAAGCAAATTAGTAGATCATCAGCAAAAGCAATTGTTTTACAACTCGGACAATGTGAGAGTCTATTGAGTAGATCATTCATAATTAAATTCCACAATAAAGGTTCGGAAACTGAGCCTTGAGGGCAACCTCTTTCCAAAATGCGGGAGGAAGAAACGTGGCCAAGGGAGAGCAATGCAGATCTGTCATGCAGAAAATCTTTAATAAGGTGGTAAATATTACACGGAATACCAGCTTTCCTTAAAAAACAAGTATCCCAGGCCACCAGGCGTGGTCGAAAGCACCTTTGATATCAAGAAACACTAAAACTGTGTGTAAATTTCTTTTCTTACCTTCGTCCACTATGTCTTTTAAGTACAAAAGAGCATCTTCACAACTCTTATGAGGGGTAAAACCAAACTGTGTGGGGGGGGGGGGGGGGGGGGGGGGGGGGGGGTGGGGGGGGGGGGGGGGGGGGGGGGGGGGGGGGGGGGGGGGGGGGGGGGGGGGGGGGACTTGCTTTATTTAGCAGTTTTTTATTATGCAAGAACCAGGTAATTCTATTAACCAACAGTTTTTCTAGGCATTTTCCTAAACTGGGAAGAAGACTAATGCATCTCAAGTTATCTAAATGCGGGATACGAGGACCACTATTCTTAGGGATTAAAACGACATTCGCTGTTTTCCAGCAACGAGGAAATGAACCAAGCCTCAGACAAGTATTGAAGATTTTGGAGAATAAATTTGGAAACATTCTATGAACTTGCTTCAAAATTTCGTTTGAAATAGAATCAAGACCAGGAGCTTTATTGCATTTAAGTTTTTCTATAACACTATTAATTTCTGACATAGTAAATGGAGGATCTGGATTAGCAACATAATTTAACGAAGCTTCAGCCCTAATCATTCTATGAAACGAATTATCCGTGCTAAAATGGTCCGTGGGAAAGCTTCTGTTAAGAACCTCATTAGTAGTTTCTTCAAGCGACTTTGTACAATTACCAGATGGGAGATAAATTCCACTGACTTCAATTCCTTTCATAAATTTTTTTTTATACCATTCGTATATATTTTTTTCCAAACATTCCTTTCATTTATACTCATTAGGAATTCTCTCCAAGACTTAAGCTTTGCATCCTGGAACTTTAAACTGTAACTATGCCTTAAGTGAAGATATTTTTGTTTATATACCTCTCTAAGAGTAGGGTTACGATTTCGTTGAAACCTACGTCTAGCAGCGTTAACATGTTTTCTCATACAATCGATTTCAGTAGTCCACCCAAGTACTTTGTATCAGTTTTAGCTGTAATAAAATTACGCTGAAAATACTAATAATTTTCTTCTTGAAGTTTCTTGAAAATGATGTTTCTCTTTTCGAAAAAATTAAAACAGTAAGGAAAGAAATCATTTCTTAAAACATCTTTCTTAATGTTACACATTATATAGAAATTTAGGAAATGTTAAAAAAAGTTAATGAACTGTATGTGGGTTAAGAAAGATGATACTATGGCATAGTACATAAACATACTTGCACATATAAAACATATCAAATTTACTGAAATGGGAAAATATATAAATACCTGAGGCAATCTTGCAATAGCATTTGGTTTGGAGCTCTTGCGCTAGCCACTGAGGCATCTGTATTTACGCTGACTTCCTTTACCCATTTTTTGCACTCTTCAATCGAATTTATACGTGATCGCATCACTCAACTTTCCAGTTGTTGGAGCAGTACAGAAAAAAGTCTTATTTTAACACAGTAATTACTTTACATTGCACATATACTCTACGAAGACTTAAACGCTAGATTTGTTTACACTCAGATGGCGGTACATCTACCACATACCGTATTTATCTTCTTTTCAAATCGCGCCAACATAATAATTATGCCAATTTTTTTCCTGGGCATGCGCAGTATGCGACATTCGTTTAACACTGTTCAACTCAATGTGCGGTCTGCCATTACGCTATCGGAGGAATATACTCTAGTATACTTTCCTGTAATTTAATAACTCCAAATCTCTTTAGGTAGACAGTTAAGGAGCTTTGTCTAAATCCAAACAACATCTATTAAAATGCTTTTCTACGTATATATTTAAATACTACCTTAGAAAACGGTGCATTAATTTTTTAATTTTTCTTATTATTTCTTATTAATTTTTAATGTTTCTAATATATTATTAGGCGTATATCTACTGATAGATAAAAACTATGTAAATCAAAATTCTTACTTAAATTTGTTTTGTCCTTTAACTCGTCATTTTAATTTAGGTATTTTCTCCTTGAGCACTAAAAATAATAACTGCTTATAATAAACATCTGTGGACTGCGTCATTTCCTTATTGTTATGGAAATTTCAGCTGCAGTAAGATAGCTTACCCGCAATCCTGGGTTAGGGTTTCCACATTTGGCTCGAAATCCCCCATTTGCTACAAAATCCGCCATATACCATGAACGGAGCGAGAACATTCTAGAACGCATTCTTAGCGGTTTCCTTGCGAATGTTCTCGAAGGTAAGTTAAAAGCTATATATACCTTGCCTGTACACGAAGTAGCAGAGTATCTTGAGTTTAGTAGTAGTGACATGAGTTCAGAAGTTACCTTGAGAGTGATCGATCGAGTCGGGAGTTGTACTTTAGTGCTTTGCCGTGAAGCTGTTTTCACCGATGTAGCCTGAAGGCTGTTGTTTCAGCTTGTCTATCGTAGTTTTTCGATGATTCTAAACTTGTCTTTGGAACTCTCCTGTGTAATACTAGCGAATAAATTTTGTTTTGATGCTTCATTATGTGTTATCATCAATTACTCCAAATCCACGAACCCGTAGAACAACAATATTAATCCATGTCAAGTGAGTTCTGTATTATGCTGGTGACGTTTTGTAACCCGAAACTCAATCAGTCACTAATAATTTTAGAGCGCTATTAATCAATCAACCAAACTGCATTGAAGTTGAAACTAATTCATTCTGAAATAAAATGTCGTCCTGACCACCTCGTACTTGCTTTCAGCTTCTGTTGCTCGCTAGACCTGCTAACGCCTG